CTGTCCTATGACCCTACCCGAAGACTCCATGTGGTCCCCCAGTTCTCACACCACCTCCTTTCTTTCACTGTCTAACTTTGGAAAGGTTTGAGTACACTCACTGTCACTTCCCATGCATTCCTAGGTTCCCATGGTCTAGCTTTTGTAATTAGCACTCCCCTGAAAGGGCTCCCGTTAAGGTGACTGCCTTGTTGCTAAACCCAGTGTACATTTTATTGTCACCTCTCTGGATTCCTGATGGCCTTTGGCCATCTTGACTCTACTCTCACCTGCTGGATTCCAAAGACCCTGGCCTAGGCCTCTGCGATGCCAGTTTCCCCGTCCCTCACCCCCCCGCAGTGTAGCCCCTCTGCTGGGGCATCACATAGAGTCATTCACCGACCCTGGACCAGCTCCTTCCTCCCTCACCTCCTCCTCCCAGGGTTTCTTGGCTTCCCCAGTGGTACCACTACCCTTCAGCTGCCCAAGCCAGGAACCAGGGCCTTATGCCTCACCCCCAGATCAGTCTGTCTCCTGGAGGAGTGCCCAGTCTTTGTAATCCATGTTCCTCACTGTAGTCAAGGAGACCTTTCTAAAATGCAAATCCAGTCAGATCCCTTCCCTGGCTCCCCAGTCAGCGTCCACAGTTCAAAGTCTGAGCTTCTTAACTGTGCTTATAAAATCTGGATATCTGGTCCCTGCTGACCTGCAGCTTCCTTCCTCCTCTCCTCTCCATCCCCAGCCCCCAGCCCTCCCTCCCATTTGCCTGGGCCCTTTGCTTCTCCAGGAAACACACAGCCTGAGTAGATACCTGCTCCTCATCCCATCCGTCCCCATCATCCCCAGGAAGGCCTCCCTCGGCCCCTTCCAGCGTGAGCTTCTCCCCCAAGCACACAGGCCCCTGGCGCTCAGCTGTCCCTTCACCAGCCTGGAGGCTCCAGGGCAGCACGCTCACCCCCTGCTTCACTGTCTATTCCTGGCATATAGTAGGTCCTTGGTAACATTGTGTCTCTTATCTGGTTGTACTTAGTCGCCTGGACTGAAAGCCCTCAGGTGGGAGTGGGTCCTTCATCTTTGTGTCCCAGCCTGGTGCCTGATGCAGGGGCCCTGCAGCCACGCCAGCTCAGTGAAGGGGCCGTTCGTATTTCAGAGCCAGCCCCTGCGATAGGTTTGTCAGAATCAGCCTCTTCAATGAATTTGTAAAAAAGACATGTTGTTCGAAAGCCTTTGATGACTTAGTTAATTTGAAATACAGCTATCGGAATCACTATTGATATAAAAACAGTATTCATTTTTCTGCAACTAATAAGTTGTTGGGAGCAAAAGCAATCCCAAACTCTGACTCTTTCACATTCCTTGGCACTAAAGTCCAAGTTTCCATGGTTTCCAGAGAATAGCATGTTATTTCACTGTCACCCTTTATGATTTGACGTTGCAATAGTAATATGAAGTTTTTAAACAATAAGCTATCTTTTTTCTTAGATATTCTTTTTTTTCTGTGCAGATGATAGATTTGTGTTTTATTATAGAGCTCTTTCTAAAAATATCAGTTAATGATCGCTCTCCTAGCCCTACCACACGCAGACCACACATACCTCATTCGAGCTGTGGTCCACGGGTACGTCCCACCCACAAATGGAAAGACCTGCTCTGCAGAGGAAGACACCCACTTTAGTAGCCTTATGCCCCTCATATCAAAAGTTTCCATCAGAGTGATATCTTCCACCACAGAAGAAAATCAAAATTTGTTTCAGAAGTAGCCTAAGCTTGTTTTTAAGCATTTAGAAAACTGTTTCCAACTTGGATAACCCTAAATGTGTTCATTTATTTTGAGCATAGAAATTTACATTCATTTCTAATAAACAATTATCGGATTTCCTAAATTAACCCCCAAAGGGGATCATTTTATTCTGTCTTGATTTTCTTTCTTGTTAACTGTCATTTAGGGGGAAAGATGACTCATACTCTAAGTTCCTGTGTTTTTCATATAACTTTTACACATTATACCAAAATTCACTATGATAAAGTGTCATACAGTCTGTGTGATAAACACAGCCTCGGTCAGATGAATACAATAAACTGGATTTTCTGTGGTTATAATCTGGGACAAATGAGTTTAGTTGAGTTACCATGGGTGACCCAGGTCTATGGGGCACGACCCGTCCCTTCGTGTGTGTGGATCGTGGATGATGGAGAATTAAACACAGGTGTCTGAAGCCGAGGGGGGAAGCTGCATTAGAATGCATAGGATCGTGGTTTGGAAGGGAAAAAAAAGTTACACCTCGCCCTCTTCCTGCAATGGCACTGGGAGCTCCCTACGCTTTGCTTTGCCTCCTGTTTTAAATGGATTGTACCACCAGTGATCATTTTCTTATTCTTGCCAGAACACCGGGTCCACAAGATTAAAAGCCAAATGAAGGTACTACATCTATTTAAATTAAAACAACAACTTTTTTCTGAACACATATAATTATATCATACACCAAAGCATAAAAAAGTACATGCTTTAAAGAGGGGAGGTAAAAAGGAATACCTATGATTCCATTAACTTTCTTTCAGGCACTGATTTTCTTGGAATACTGCCGAAGTTTAGATCCCAATCAAAGACAACAGAACCACTGGCTGAGTCATCTGCAATCAAATGCTTTTTTTCCTTTTTTCCAGAAAGATTTCAGATAAAATTCAACACCCATTCATGATTAAAAAGTAAAAACTAACCCTCTTCACAAATCAGGAATAGAAAGGAATTTCCTTAACCTGATCAAGTATATTTACAAAAAACCTGAAAGTATCCTCTATAAATAGGATAAAAAACAGACTATTACATTGTACTGGAGATCCTAGCAATAAGTCAAGCAGTACGTCAAGCGAAAGAAGTAAAAAACAAAGGAATAGAAAAGGAAGAAACTAATATTATTGCAAATAACAGGATTGTCCATATAGAGAACCCAAAGGAATCTACACACATATTGTTAAAAATAATAGGAAAGTTTAGGGAGAAAGCTGGCCATAAACTAACATAAGCAAATCAGCAACATCTCTATACTCCAACAACAAACAGAACCATCTAAAAAAGCAACACAAAGCAAAATATCTAGAAATAAACCTAATAAGAGATGTACACACCATTTCTGGAGAAACTTTACAGAACTTTGTTGAAGGACGTTAGAAAGACTTGTCCTACCAGGTATCAAGAGCTATTATAAAGCTACCAGAACAAAGACAGTGCGGTACCAGCAGAAGGACAGACAAATTGAGCAACGGAGCAGAACAGAGCCCAGAAACAGACACATGGTTGCGTGGAAATTTGATAAATGATGAGACGGTATTGCAGATCCATGGGAAAAGATGAATCACTGAATTAAAATGGCACTAGATCTAGTGGTTATCCACATACAAAACTCAAAACTGGATCATTACCTCACAACACACACAAAAATCATTCCCGATAGATTAGACTTCAACATGAAAGACAAAACTTTTAGAATAAAATGTGAGGAAATATCTTTATGATATTGGCACAGGGAAGGATTTCTTTAACCAGGAAACCAGGTAAGAAAGCAATGTAAATTTAACCAAATTAAATAAGAGCTTTTCCACTTATTACCAGAAAGACACAATAAAAAAGAGAAAAAACAAACTGCAAACAAAGCAGATACTTATGACACATATAAGTGACCAAAGATTATTACCTAGAATATATAAAGAACTTCTATGAATCAATAAGAAAAAGATAAACAACCAAGTTTTAAAAAATGAGAAAAAAACATGAGGAAGCATTTCACAGAAAAGAAACACAAACGGTATAAAAACACGTGACAAGGGGCTGGCCCCGGGGCCGAGTGGTTAAGTTCGCGCGCTCCGCTTTGGCAGCCCAGGGTTTCACTGGTTCAGATCCTGGGCGCGGACATGGCACTGCTCACAAGGCCATGTTGAGGCGGCATCCCACATGCCACAACTAGAAGGACCCACAACTAAAATATACAACTATGTACTGGGGGGATTTGGGGAGAAAAAGCAGGAACAAAAAAAATATTGGCAACAGTTGTTAGCTCAGGTGCCAGTCTTTTAAAAAAACAAAACATGGGGCTGGCCCTGTGGCCGAGTGGTTAAGTTCGCGCGCTCCGCTGCAGGCGGCCCAGTGTTTCGTTGGTTCGAATCCTGGACGCAGGCATGGCACTGCTCATCAAACCACGCTGAGGAAGTGTCCCACATGCCACAACTAGAAGGACCCACAACAAAGAATATACAACTATGTACTGGGGGGCTTTGGGGAGAAAACGGAAAAAATAAAATCTTCAAAAAAAAATGTGACAAGATGTTCGTTAGTAATCAAGGAAATGCAAATAAGGCCACAGTGAGCTGCCATCTTAAATCCACTGAATTGGCAAAATTAAGAGAATCTGATAATACCAGAGGGTAGCAAGGATGGGGATCAACGGAACACTATGCACTGCTGACAGGAGCATAGTAGCACCATCTCGAAAAGCGTTTCAGGACTGCAGTGGACTCTTCATTGATCAGAAATGTTTTCTGCCCCTCCCTGTGTGAAAATTGTACTTTCTGCCCTATTGATGCCCAGCTTGGCTTCGTGACTTGCTCTCAAAGTTGGAGTCTAACCAACTACATATGGGCAGAGTGACGTGAATCCCTTTGCCACGAGACGGCCAATGTTCCAACAGAAGCTGCTCCCTCCGCCTAAATCCCAGAATGAAACAGCGAGGAGCAAAGTCACAGCCAGCCTGCAAGGGGCACGTGGTGACAGCAGGAAAGGCACCTCTGTTGTTTGGTTGTAATCTGTTAAGACTTGGGAGGTCATTTGTTACTTCTGCATAACTTAGCATATCCTTATTGATATGAGTACTGGCTCATAAAGTTGAACACTCATCTGCCCCAAGAGCCAACAATTCCAGTTCTAAAGAAGTTTCCCTGGAAACACTCTTGCCCAGGAGACACGTAAAGGAACATTCATAGCAACATTGTTCATAACTGCAAAAAACCGGGAAACACCACCAGTGTCCTCAGAGAATGGATGATAAATTATGGTATATTTGCAAAATTATATAGCAGTCAAAATGAATGCATTCTAGTTGCATATAATAACATGCATGAGTCTTATAAATATAATTTTGAGTGATTAAAGCAAGTCATAGAGGTCTCCATACAGTATAAACCATTTTCATAAAGCTTAAAAACAAACAAAACTAAATAACATAATTTTAAGGTACATAATTACATAATAAATGACTTTTTTTTTTTAAAGCAAGAAAATGAGAGACAACATTCCCCAGAAAGGTCGCGGGGTGGGTGGTGGTGGAGGGAGACGGAAGTTGAGAGAGGGAGCAGCACACAGATGGATGCACTGACCTTGACTTTGACCCTATAAAGGGTCAGATAGTAAATATTCTAGGCCACACAGCCTCTGTCAGAGCTGCTGACCTCTGCTGTTGTAACGCAAAGGCCGCCTTAGACAACATGTAAATAAATAAGTGTGGCTGTATGTTCCAATAAAACTTCATTTATGGAGTCTGAAATTTGAGTTTCATATAATTTTACATGTCGGGAGATATTATTCTTCTTTTGATTTTTTAAACCATGTAAATACGTCAAAACCATTCTCAGCTCCTAAGCCGTACAAAGGCACGTGGCGTCTCAGAGCTGGCCCTTGGGAGCTGGCGGCTCCCGCTCTGGTGCTCTGGTTGGGCTCTTGGCTCTTCGTTCTAGGACGTGCTTCATACCTATTTCATGCATTAGTTTATGTGCATCCAATACTATTATTAAAGTTTTTAAGGATAAAAAAACATAAGCCCCGGCTCATGGGGAGCAGGAGCAAAGCAGACGATGTGAGGACCAGGGACCACGAGGTGTGCAAGGACATCCCAACCCCTTCCGGAACTCTTCCACAAGGTCCGAGAGTTTCCTCCTTGACCCCAACCTTGGGCTGTCGCCATTCTCCCCTCACGGTGGGAGAGGCCACTGTGTTGAATGGCTGATCCAGTAGATAATTTGGTTGGGGATATTTTATGCATCTTATGGCTTATTGTCATATGTTATATTAGCACACACAAAAAATGGAATTGATTTTGATTATAATTTTAGTCAGACCACTGGCCTACATGATTAAATTTAAAATAGAATTCTCTTTAGATTTAACTAAAAAGCTAGCTCAAGCCTGTTAAGCAGTGTCTTGAGCGTGCCCCTCTCCTATGAGCTCTGTTTCCTACTTCTCTTCTGTTAGAAGCGGTACGTTTTTAAAGGCCAATTCATTAGCATTTAAAAAAAACTTGTAGGGGGTTCTCCTGGGTATTAGGCAAGACGTGTTTTCAATTGGAAAGGTAAGACGGCGCGTCTCGTCTGGCACTCCTCCTCGGATCCTCCTCGAGAGCCCCAGCGTTTCCCGGACCCCGCTCACAGTCCACCTTCTCCCTCTTCTTCCTCCGGAAATCGGCAACTACAGGCATCTTCCTCTTGGGCAGTTTGTGCTGGTCGCATAAACGCTAAAAAGGAATTTAAAAGACACTTATCTTTTGCTGTCTTTTGTTTTAATCATTTGGCATCTATTTTCCATAAATCACAGTTGCAGAACATCTCTAAGTAGCAAACGTCCTCAACTTTAATTTGAACAAACTCACTAAAGAGAGCGGTAATAGCACGAACTTTTTCTCAGGCTTATTTAAGATTTTTCTTTTCACCAAATACTTTTATTCGTCCTGAAAAACTATTTTCTTTATTTCCTACAATGGCTAAAACAGTCTTGAGCGCGCATCACCACAGCACAAAACTTGTTGTGTCCGAAACGTAACTACAGTTTCAACTCAGCTGCACGTATTTCAGTCTTAAGGTTACTTAGCTTACACATTCCACAGTTTCTTTTGAATGCTTATGGATCCAAGATATTAAAGATACTCACATCACTTCCATCTATTAGTAAGTGAAGAACTGATTGATACATTAGCTTCCAGGTTTTCTTTTACATGTTAGTGTGAAGTTTTTGTGTTACTGCTGAGCAACTTTTAATCCTAAGCAGATTTTTTTTATAGCCTGACAATGCAAAAGGCCCTACCCCCATTTTACATGCTTGTTACTATAAAAAATAGCCAAAACCCAACAACCGTGCTATCTCCAAGAACTTATGAAAAACTGGCAAGACATTCAGAAATACCAATAGGATGTCTTTTTCTTTTGAAATAGCATCAAGGATTAATTTCAAAATGGAAATCTGCTTCCATAGAGTAGTCACACTTTTTCCTATTCTTCCTGCTAGGTATTGCTGAAGACTCTGGACATTTTATATACAACAAACATAAGAAAAATCGGGAAAGTGGAGAGAAGAAGGCACACCAGCTAAGGATCTCAGGATCCAAGAATAACATAGACTTGAGTTCCCTGGGTTTTCTTTCTGCCTGATATGCCCCAGACTGGGAACTGGAAAAGTCAGCAATCTAGAAATGCCGATGAGCATAGACTAAAACAATGTCCCAAGAAAAGTCTGCTCTCTCCAGCTACAAAACCAGGAAAGGTTAGCAAGGCTTGCAGCATAGCAAGACTGAAAACTTTTAGGGAATCACTCTCCTCTAGCAAACACCACAGAAAAAACTGTGGCCCCACACCCAAGCCAACCAGTAAAGGCGAAGTAGAATGCCCAGAATTCCACTCTCACCAAGCTGTTTCAAGGTTCGGCTCCCTCTCCTCGTGGGGATAGTGTCAGAGGAGGCCTAGTGGAGAGCAGAGATTTCACTGCCACTCAGGAGTAATGAGGTCACCCCCACCCCCACCACTTTGATGTTGCTGGAGGCCCCCCAGGGAGTAGTAACAAAGTGTCTTTTCCCATTCCAGCCAGAGTGGTATCAGCAGAAACTTAATGGGGTGCCTGAACTCCACACATGTCTAGCAATAACAAGGAGCCCCCCACCCCCGGGGACAACACTTGTAGAACCTGGTCTTCCAACCCCGCCTATCCTCCTTCCTCTACTGGAGCAGTGTTAGAGGAAGCCTGAATAAATACAAGCTTCCAGTTAGATCCAGAGTCTGATGACATCATATCCAAAATGTCTGGGTTGCAACAAAAAATGACTTGTCATTCTAAGAACCAGGAAGATCTCAATGTGAATGAGAGAAGACAACAGATACTTGCATCTAGATGATATACATATTGGAATTATCTGGCAAGGATTTTAAGGCAGCCATCATAAAGATGCTTCAATTGGGAACACATTTGAAACAAATGAAAAAGAAATAGAAGACATAAAAAAAAAGAACCAGGTGGCAATTTTAGAACTGAAAAATTACAATAAGCAAAATTTTAAAAATCAGTGAATGGGCTCAGCAGCAGAATGGAGAGGACAGAGGAAAGAATCATTACCTAATCTGAACAACAAAGGGAAAAGACTGGGAAAAAAATGAACAGAGCCTCAGGGACATGTGGGACTATAACAAAAGACCTAATATTCATGTCATTGGAATCCTGGAAGAGGAGAAAGGGAGTACGGCTGGAAAAGTATTGAAGAAACAATGGCTGAAAATTTCCCAAATCTGGAAAAAGGGATAAGCCTCCAGATTCAAGAAGCTGAGTGAATTCCAAATAGGATAAATCAAAGAAATCCACACCAAGACACATCATATTTAAAGTTTTGAAAACAAAAGACAAAGAAAGAAATCTTGAAAGCAGCCAGAAAGAAACAGCACAATACTTACGGGGGAAAACAAATAGAATGAAAGCGGATTTCTTGTAAGAAATCATGCAGGTCAGAAGTGGCACATTTTTCAGGTTTTAAAAGAAAATAACTGTCTACCCCAAATTCTATATCCAGTGAAAATATCTTTCAGGAATGAAGGGGAAATCAAGACATTCTCAGATGAAAGAAAACTAAGAGAATTTGTCACCAACAGACCTACTGTACAAGAATGGCTAAAGGAAATTCTGTAAACAGAAGAAAAATGATAAAAGAAGGAATCCTGGAATATCAAGAAGGAAGGAAGATCAATGGAATGAACAAATACATGGGTAAATTCAATAGACTTTCCTTCTCTTGAGTTTTCTAAATTATGTTTGACAGTTGAAGAAAAATTATAACATTGTCTAATATGGTCCTAAAAGTATATAGTGGAAATATTTAAGACAAGTATATCATAAATTGGAGGAGGTTAAGAGGATGTAAAGGGTGGTAATATTTCTATACTTCATTCAAACTGTTAAATGTTGATACTATGATAACTTATGCATAATACCTAGAGCGACCATTATAAAAGCTATACAAAGACATACATTCAAAAAACTATAGATGAATAAAAATTGAATTCTAAAAATTGTTCAAGTAATCCACAAGAATGCAGAAAAAAGATAACAGAGAAATGAAAACCAGAGAAAGCAAACAGAAAACAACAAATAAAATAGCATCTTAAATCCTAACATATAAATAATTACATTAAATATACACGGTTTAAATACACCAATTAAAAGACAGAGATTAGTAGAGTGATACCTATACCCTGCTTACAAGAAATTCACTTCGAATATTAAAATGTAGGAAAGTTGAAAGTAAAAGGATGAAAAAAATACTATATATATAAATATGCTATATTTTCTATATAGTATATATACTATATATATAAAGCAGAGTGGCTATACTAATATCAGATAAAGTAGATTTCAAAGCAAAGAAAATTATCAGACACAGAAAGTAACTTCACATAATGGTAAAAGTCAATTCATCAAGAACACATAGCAATACTAAATGTGTATACACTAGTCCCCCCTTATCCACAGGGATACATTCCAACACCCCCAGTGGATGCCTGAAACCATGGAGAGTACCAAACACTATATAAACTACCTTTTTTCCTATACATACATACTTACAATAAAGTTTAATTTATAAATTAAGCACAATAAGAGATTAACAAGAATAACTAATAATAAACTAGAACAATTATAACAATATACTGTAATAAAAGTCATGTGACTATGGTCTCTCTCTCCCAGAATATGTTATTGTATTGTACTCCCTCTTCTTGTGATCAGGAGAGATGGTACAATGTCTATGTGATGAGATGAAGGGAGGTGAAGGATGGAGCAGAAGGGCATGGGATTTCATCATGCTACTCCCTGAACAGTGTGCAATTTGAAACTTATAAATTGTTTATTTCTGGAATTTTCCATTTAATATTTTTGGGCAGTGGTTGACCACGGGTAACTGAAGCCATGGAAAGTGAAACCACAGGTAAGAAGGGACTATTGTACACCAAACAACAGAGCTGCAAAACAGGTGAAGCAAAACCTGATAGAACTTAAAAGAGAAATACATGAATCCACAATTATATTTGGAGAATTAAATGGCCGCCTCCCAACAGTTGATAGAACAACTAGACAGGAAATCAGCAAGGATAGAACCTGACAACATCATTAACTGATAGGATCAAATCAACATTTATAGAACACCCCACCCAAGAGCAGAACACATTCTTTTCCAGCGTCCACAGAACATACGGCAGGACAGACTGTGTCCTGGGCCATGAAACAAACCTCCACAAACTGAAAAGAACTGAAACCATCCGGAGGGTGTCCTCTGACTATAATGGAAGTAAATTAGACATCACTAATAGAAAGAAAACAGGAAAAGCACCAGACACTTGGAAATTTAAAAACACACTTTTAAATAATCAATGGGTTAAAGAGGAAATCTCACGGGAAATACAAAAACACATTAAACTGAATGAAAATAAAAAAAGCAACATATCAAAATTTATGGGACACAGCTAATTAGTATTGAGAAGAAAATTTATAATGTTATATTCTTATATTAGAAAAGAGGAAAAGTCTCAAATCAATAATATAAGTTTCCACCTCAAGAGAAAAATAAGTCCAAAGCAAGTGGAGAGAAGGACATAATAAAAGTAAGACCAGAAAATAGTGAAATAAAAACAGAAAAAGACAGAGAAAAATCAATGAAAAGAAGAGTTGGTTCTTTGAAAAGATCAATAAAATTGACAAATCTCTAGTAAGACTGATATGGAAATAAGACAGAAGACACACATTAACAATATGACTAGGTGGCATCACTACAGACCCTGCAGATAACAAAAGGAGAACAAAGGAATACTGGGAATAACATAAACACATGTGATAACTCAGACGAAATGGACCAATGCCTCAAAAACACAAACTACCACAGCTCACTCAGTAGGAATTAAAGAACTTAAATAGTCCTATAATTATTAAGGAAATTACATCTGTAAATTTAAAATCTCCAAAAAGAAAATCTCTAGGTCCAGTGAGTTGCACTAGAAAATTCTACCAATTGTTTAAAGAAGAATTAACACCAATTCTATAAATCTCTTCCAGGAAACAGAAGAGGGACCATGTCCCGACTTATTTGATGAAGCTAGTATTACTCTGATACCAAGATTAGACAAAGACAGTACTAGAAAATAAAACCACAGACCAATATCTTTATGAACATAGCTGCAAAAATTCTTAACAGAATACTAAGAAACAGAA